ATTGTTTATTATTATGATAGTCGACGAGACCGATCAACAAGTAAAGATGTGTTACAACGGAACAATGGGTCCTGACGAACTAGTAAATATGTGTTCCAACGGAATAATGGGCCCTCAAATGATAAATGAAGACGTGTTCCAACAGAGCAAAGGGTCCTCAAGGGACAAACGAAGATGCGTTCCAATGGAACAATAGGTCCTAAACGGACAAATAATAATGTGTTTCAACGGAACAATGGGTCCTGATGGACTAGTAAAGATGTGTTCCAACGGAACAATAGGTCCTGACAGACTAGATGCGTTCCAACGGAACAATGGATCCCAGAGGGACTACTAAAGATGCATTCTAATGAAACAGTGGATCCAGTGGGACAAAAAAAAAAAAAGGACGAAAAAGCAGAAAAAGATGAAAAACAGATGAAGACAAAAATTAGAAAAGTATGAAAATCAAAAAAGATAAAGTAGAAGAAGACGAAAATCTGAAAATACAAAGCAAAAAAAAGACGAAAATTAGAAAAGACAAATCAGAAAAGGACAAAAAAAAAAAAAAATACCGAAAGTCTTCAGAAACTGCAATCTAACAAGTCTTCAGAGGCTGCAAACTAATAAGTCTTCAGAGGCTATTGGAATTGATAGCAAACCCTATAATATTGGTGGTATATATAAGCAACAAAGTACCTCCTATTTGTATAATTCAAATTCAAATTGGAAAGGAAAATCTTATAATCTAAAATTGGATAGAAAAACAAAAGAGGAAATCTTACAATTCAAAGTTGGATAGGAAAGCACGAAGAAAAAAAAAAAAAAACAACTTTACAATTCAAAGACCAAGTTGGATACTTCAAGTGCAACTTGAAATAAAAGACAAGTCGATCTGGTCAAATGTGGGACTCGAAGTAGGGGCAATTTGTAGACACTAAAATTTTAGTGAACTTTTGTTTTGACGAATTGACTCATCAAATATCTAATGTTTAATTAAATTAATTAATTGGTCTAAATTTGGTCTACTTAAATTATTTAATTAACCCAACCCATATTATTAAATGAAAAGATAATTATTCTTAATAAAATATATTTGGAATAATTATTTTTATAGATAATTATCATAATATAGCCAACCCGGTCCAGTTATAATTTTATCCTTATCAGGAGAGGATACGTGTCATCATCCTATTAATCCAAGAAGCCTATAAAATAGAGGCATGGAGGAAGGAGAAAGATGGTCCAGAAATTGAGAGACTCAGAAATCCAGAGGGTCAAAAATCCCAGAGAGAAATACAAAAACTCTACTAACATTCATTCCCAACACCCAAACCTGAAGGCGAAGAGCAACAAGCACATCAAATCGTGTCGTTCTTCATTAAAATTCCACGGTGATCAACAACAAGTACATCCAAAGCCATGCCGTTCTTCATCAAATTCAACAAATTCTCTCTGATGGCGAATAACAACAAGCACATCCAAAGTCGTGCCGTTCTTCACCAAATTCAACAAATTTTCTCTAAAGACAAAGAATAACAAGCACATCCAAAGCCGTGCCGTTCTTTCTCAAATTCAACAAAGAACAACAAGCACATCAAAATCATATCGTTCTTTCCCAGTGATTCAACAAGTTCAAAGAATCATCAAACAACATTATTCGAGATCAAGCTTCGTCAGCCCTCGATCAGAAATCATCTGAAGATCTTTTTCAACTACAAATACTTGAAGAAGGTTGTCAACAACCCGATTCAAGATCAAGCTTCAACAATCCTTGGATCCAACCAACAAAGGAGATCGAATCTAGGGACGAATGCACGTTCAAGGGTGTGGAGGCAATTGCCCCCACTCAATTTTTTTTTTAGTATTTTACCCTTATAATTTAGTCATTTTTAGTAATATACCCATGAAATATTACATTTGACCCCACTAAAATTATTTTAAAAATGCACTAGTGCCCCCACAAAATTCATTTTTGCCCCCACTTACCCTCCATCCTGCCTCCGTCTCTGATCGAATTAGAGGATATTTTCTTTCTTTTGTAAATAATATCTCAGAGGATTGTACTCAATTTTCATAATTAAATAAATAAATTATTATTTGCTCCTTATTTGTTCTTTATTTGCAGACTACGAAATTTGTGTACAACACGTTTAGATAAATAAGTCATTTTTAACACAAATACGACACGATTATCTGATACATTTAGTTAAACGAGTTATAAATAGACTAGCGGATCATCTAATACATTTAGTTAAACGAGTTATAAATGGATTAGCGGGTCAAACACAAATACGACACACTTAAATACCGTATCAATTCAGGTCTACACAATTACAACCCAAGCACGATTAAACTAAACCCAACTCAATGTTCGAATCGAATTTATAGTGTTGTGCCAATTATTGTCACCCTAAATTATTGTGTGATGTGTTTTTTTTTTTTTTTTAGGTTAGTGTGTTTGGAATATTATTTCTGAACCATTTTTTTTTTTTTTTTTTTTTTACTACATTTTAAACGGCAACCAATTGTTATTGTGAAAACTAATATATATAAAAAAATTGAGTCCAAATATTGAACAACTCAAAAAGTGGATAAATCATTAATTTATTAATTGATTTTGTAAAACGTTTGAGTATAAATCTTTTGTAAATATTCTTTAAAAAAATTAGATTTCCTTGACATTGAAATCTAACAACTTTTATACTCTAAACATTCTCACTTCCAATGGTTCTTATCCTCTGCATCAAAATTCCTGAAAGCCTATAGTTAGAAGTTAGTCTTCTGAGTAATGAGTATGAGATAAGCACAACTTTGGATTATGCATGTGTTTTTTTAACAATCTTGTAGTTGAGTAGCTCTGTACCACTTTGTCACTTATTTACTTCTATTTTTATTTTATTTTTATGTTAATGACCCTTGATGTAGACTAAAAGAGTTTTATATATATATATATATTCAAATATATGAGTGACAACGTTCATGCATAGATGAACCTTTTACCTTCCCATGTTATATACTACAACTTTGGTATGATAATTAATTTATATATACTTGCTAGAATCAACATGTTCATTAATGAAAAGCATATCCAAAACATAGATAAATACAATATAATTATATATATATATATGTACGTATAAAAATATATATAACAAGTAATATTCCTACCCCGTTTCAGTAATGCACGTGATTAAATCACCAGAAGATTCAAATCTTCTTACAAAGTTTGGTATCCGAAGCTCTTGATGTATATTGGCTCCATGATTCAATGAATTGTCATGGCTATTAACTATTTTTTTTAAATATATAAGCAGAGATGGTTACACGTTATTATTATAACCTGCGTTCACACTTTCTAGTTGCTTTCGTTAGTCTAAAATGGAGGGAGTCCATTGAACGACCTCATTCCAAGATCAGCACGGTTTTATTATTTTATATACGGTAAGAGATAGAATCTGCTTTCACACTTTGTCATTAGTTTAGTTGATATAACTTTTAACGAATATTACTGTATATACATTGGAGGATAATAGGAATTTAATTCAATTATTGATTTATGTTATGTTTGTAACTATTGAATTTGATAATTTGAATTTAAAATTTTAAAAAAAATAGTTAAAATTTTGCTAATTTAGTGATTCAAATACAATTTTTATGTTTTGTTTGGCAGCGCAAAATGAGAAATAATGTTAACACTATAATTTTCTCAATTTACACATCATTTGAATGCTTTAATAAACAACTTGACAAAATCTTTCGTTGGAGTGTAATGTGTTTGTTTGATAAGATTAAACGAATATATATATTGAATTTTTAAGTGTGGAGTGATAGGTGATATTTCATCACTTTAAATTTTGTTAAGTTGTTACTCTTAATTGGAGAAGCTCACTTATTGAAATACTCTAGAGTATATTGTTGAATGACAACTACGTTATTTTATTTACCAAAAAGTTAACTAAAATACAAGTGCTATATAAATAGTTTCGAGTATAAATGATTGTACTATTTATTTAGAAAGCACGAATAACTTACACATATGTTATATTACTTCTGTCTCAAATTAAATGTCGAGTTTGAATAATTATGACTCACAATTATAAATTACGATTCTCCAAATAGAACATCTTTTTTAAAATAGAAAGAGTAGTTAATAAAACTCTCGATGACTTTGCTACGCATCCTCTTATCTAATTGGATAAGACAATATGGACAATGCTAACATTACTCATTAGTGTAATCATTTGTCGCCTAAATGATTGTAAATTAAATGCATTAATACACATTTTATTATAATTCACATTTTTCTATTTGAACAAAAAAAAAAAGAAAAAACAACTACTTTAAGAGAGAGGCATATTGGGTTCCGTGTGCGGCACAAAATACGCTCGTGTGTGTGTAAAGCTCGCATGGGTGAGCTATCAACGTCAACGTGAGCAATGGATTGAAGTTAACGTCACGTGGAATGTCGTCACATTTTCCTTTCCTTTCCTTTTAACACTTATTTATTTACTTTATTTTCCACTTTCTCTCTCCTACACCGAAGGAAAGGAATTGCTGCATCAACTACTGATACTGTTAGTAATACTGTAATAGTAGTAGTAACTACGCGGAGCAAGCTTTGAAGATTCCTGGTCTCCTCCACAATGCTTCATCTCTGACTTTCTTCTATTTCACTCATACTCATATAAGTATATAATATATCTATATATCATAAGAAGGTATAAATTGGTAGAGAGAGAAAGAGGCATCTTAGAGAGAGAAACAAATTTAATTGGGAGGGTGTTAATCAAGGTATCTGCTTTGAAATGGTCAGCAATTGGACTTCCTCACTCCATCTACAATTCTTATGACCATAGACCAGTCTTATGAGAAGAAAATGCCTTTCAATTGTTTTGGTCAAACTTTCTCTCTCTACTCGCTCTCTCTCTCTCTCTCTATCCTCCTCTTTCCCTCGATTTTTCTTCATTCAAAAACAGGCCTCCCTTATATATTCAATCAGCCTCTCTTTATTTTTCATCTTCTCACCTCGTACTTCAACTTTTGCTTCTTTTGTTCATTTTTCTACTCCAATTTTGGATTAAAAAACCCAATTGCTATATGAATATTTTGTACTTGTTTGCACTAGTATGATTTCAGAAACAAATTTAAACTTTTGAAAAATTCTACACTTACCTAGTTTTTTTTTTTTGCCCCCAATTTGCACAATTTTGGCATTAACACTTCTCTGACACATATAAACTAGTTGCTCTATAAGCCTATAGTACTACTCAATATAATAGTAGTCCTTCCTTTTGTGTTATATATCACATATATAGGATGGAGAACTCAATAGATTGGGAGCAAAAGAATCTGATACATCATGAGCTAACACAAGGAAGAGAGTTAACTAAGCAGCTCCAGACACATCTCAATGTGCCATCTTCATCACAAGAAGCGCGGGAACTGTTAGTTCTCAAGATCTTGAAGTCCTATGACAACGCGCTCTCAATGCTGAAATGGAATGGCTCAGTGGCAGAGCTGCAGCCCACAGCAGGAGGAGGAGGAGGAGCAATTGGGACATCTGAATCCCCGCGTTCGTTCAGTGGAAGTCCCCATAGCGAAGATTCTGATAGGGAATTCAGGGATCAAGATCACAAAGATGGCTCTAGGAAGAGGTGAATCTCACACACACACACGCATAGATCAATGGATTTGTTATGATGTGTGTATAATTTAGTTGATGAGTCATTTCTGAATATAGGGATTGCTTGTTTGAAATGTTATGTTGCAGAAAGTGTATGCCAAGGTGGACAAAGCAAGTGCAAGTTTGCCCTGGGACAGGACTTGAAGGACCTCTTGATGACGGCTTCAACTGGAGAAAGTATGGGCAGAAAGACATTCTTGGGGCCAAATATCCTAGGTAATTTTAACTACTTTAAACTTCTGATATATATATATATATATATATATATATATATATATATATATATATATTTCGGAAAGTTCAAGTACGCACGCACTCATTATATTTTGTCCCTACCAAGGTCAGGCCGAACATTAAACATTCCAGCTTATACCATCAACCCTAACCACCATTATTTTTTGTTCTATATATCGAAAAACTTGTACTTGTTACGTTCAAAAAAAGAGATTATTTTTCATTTCAATCATATGATTTTGAACTTACACTTAAAACAACTTTACCATTGCATTAAGGTCTGACTTTTATTAACTATATATTACCTCTGTCCCTTTTTTATTGTCCGTTTGTGAGTCACAGTTTACGAAGCGGACAACACAAAAGGGACGAAGGTAGTAATTATACTATATAAGTCCAGCATTTCAACCGAGATGCTCGACCTATAACAACCTAGTCATAGGATGCAACAGAAGGGAATCACGTGGATCCCTCTCTATTGCCTCTGACGAATCAGGACTGTTTGTCCCAATATTTGGGTTGAAAAGGTCTACAAAAAGTCATTTTCCTCAACTATCTTATGCATTTTATTTTATTTTATATTTTTATTATTTTTTTCAAAAATTAGTTTTAAAACTTGAGAAGAAATCTTTTTGTTCTAATTCCTAAACACAAATAATATGTGACCTCCTCCACCTTAATATCACCTGTCCTTTTCTCAGTGTGGAACCATTTTAAAGTCAACGGGTCTTACATGGTAAGGCCTTCTTCCCATTAGCTGAACAATTCATTCATTGAATTTTCAAAAACAGAACAGTTGTCACTAATATGTACACGATATAGTTCAACACGTTTACATAATTTTGATAATATACAAATGAATAGAACTTATATGGACCCACAGGAAAAGTCGTTGCCAACCCAATTAAAACCTGAATCAAGACAAACAGCTGTTTTAGCAATTAAACCTATGCAACTCCTTGGTCACTTGCTTCTGTAGTCAAAGCTTTCCACTCCATTTTCACATGGATTCAATTAAATAGGTTAAATCATGGTTTTATTTTTAATAAACCACAAGTAAAAAACAAAAATTTACATAAATACTCGTAATATGTACATTTAAGAGTGATGTTATTGTTATGGACTTTGCTAATTGTTTTTTTTTTTTTAGGTAAAAGGGTAAGCTTGACTTTGCTAATTGTTGATGAGATACAAAAATAATAAATTTTACGATATGTATTTTGTTAACAATCAATCTTAACGGTAAAAAGAGAACTTTAATTTTTTCGAACTAATAAATCAAGAAGATAGTGAAGGATATTAAACTTGCATCCTAGATGACACTAAGTTACAAGTGTGTTGTCATTGAATACAATAAGTTGTGTAGGACCTCCTATTAATATAGATGTATCATCATTAGAGAGAAATTACCTTTGAAACCCTAGAACACTTCAATTTGAACCAAAATCCTCATTAAATGCTGCGAAAAAATGATTAAACATGAAGAAAAAGTCATTAAACAATAACCCATTGTAAGAATTTGTTGACTTATGCAAACATGGTTCTCATTTTTTAGTCTTTTTATTTTTTAATTCTTTTTTGTGTTTTTTTGATACATCAACCACAAAATAAAGAAGAGAATGAAAACACTAATTTTTATATTTCCTGTTTTCTCACAATCCTCAATCTTCTGTATATGCAGAGGCTATTACAGATGCACTCATAGAAATGTCCAAGGCTGTTTGGCTACAAAGCAAGTCCAAAGATCTGATGAAGACCCTACAATCTTTGAAATCACTTACAGGGGAAGGCACACTTGTACTCGGGGCTCCATTTTACCAGCTCAACCATCACCTGAAAACCAAGAACCAAACACACCCCAAGATCATCAACAACAACAACAACAACAACAACAACAACCAGTCCACCAACCACCACAAAACCAAGAAATACTCATCGACTTCAGAACAGGCCTCAAGGTCATAACCGAAAACTTGGACAATCAACAAAACTCATTCCCTTCTTTCATCTTCCCTTCAACATCCAACATTAAGCCCGAAAACCATCCTGCTTATTCGCCTTCCATGCTCGAAAACAATCTCATGGGGAACTTCTCGTGCCCTTCATTCGTCTCCCCTGCAACGTCCGGATCAAACTACTACTCGGTGTCACCTGCACATATGAACAGCTTTGTGGGGACAGGGACTCAAAATCTGCACACTACTTCAGAATGTGAACTCAATGAGATTGTTTCAGCTACTTCAGCTACCAACTCTCCGACTGTTGGCTTGGACTTCCCATTTGGTCCGGTGGAGTTTGATCCGAGCTTCACATTTGACAATCCGGGCTTTTTTTCATAAGTCTTTATTCAACTTTAGACATAGAAATAAAGATCCAAACGATATGTTTGATAGACACATCTGATGTTTGGAAATATAATTTTGTATTGTTAAGGTAGGTACGTGACATTAGGCTAATCCTATAATTTATTCACGTTTGTTGTTGCATTTGTAAGCAGTTCTGATCCTGTGTGGAAGAGTAATTATATATATAATTGTCGTTATCAATCTTGATTTAGAAAATTATTGTACTTCATTGTTGAATAACCTTCAATTTCTTAATTAAGTACTGCCAATGTTAACTTGAATGCTTTGAGAGATCTATGCTAAATGTAACCTTTGAAACATTTTCACCATATAATCTTGAAATTTAACATTTATTAAATCTTGGGGACATATTGTTTCCATCATTTCTTTGTGTATTATTGAAATATTTTTAAAAACTTTTGTCTTTTATTTGTGTTTTCTTGTGAGTAAAATTATTTTCTAAGCATTTATTAATTAATTGTGAATTCTCCCTTTTCTATTATTGTAAAAATTCCTTTGCCTCTCATTTGAGAATGTGTTGGATATATATATGTCACTTAATTATGACATGAAATGTGCTATAATGGCAGTTTGATCTAATCTGCAATCATTAACAATAATTTGTGCTTTCTATGGAGGAGGGTTGAACCTCTCTCTTGTGAAGATTGGTTTGTTCATCTATTTGCAATAGTCATGTTTTTTTTTTTTTTTTTTCTTATATAATAATAATAATAATAATAATAATAATAAATTATTAAAGAGAATTCGTGATTTTTTATTTTCTAGTATTATTTTATTGGTTAAAATCTAGCAATGATACACGTACTACTCTTTACCTTATTTTTCACTTTCAATTAGAAGGTCATTTTACTTTGAGCATGATTATTATATGAGTGATAATTTGTTCACATCAACACACATAAGTTATGAGCATCAGCCCCAGGAGCTTGGTAGTGTTGGTAAGGCAACGGGTTGGGGTGTCATATGTCCTAAGTTCGAGCCCGTCCATCCCTATTATATTCCTTGACTATGGTGCTGAGGTATGGGGCCGTCGACAGCATTCTCAGGTTTGTAACCTAGGGTGGGTCCCAAAAGAGCCTTACCTAGAGGAGTTTCTGGTGCCAACCAAAAAAAAAAAAAAAAAAAATTATGAGCATCATAAGTTAAAATTTTTTGTTAGTTCATTAGTTTGTGATTGACTCTGTCTATTTTATTTTTTAATGTTTCAGTTGAATCAACATGGTATATTGGAGGGAACTAATAATATTAATTTTATTTTTAAAAAATTAAAATTCTATTTTTTTTTCATCTTTTACCTAAAAATATTAATTTATCCCAACTTGGTTAGATTGCACTAAAATCTATATGGGGAACAGAAAACATAGAGTTTAGAGATAACTTTGGTTATCTTCAGTTTGTAGACATTCATTTTTTAATCAAACATTCTATTTTTCTTTTCAATAAATATTCACCATTCCCATGACATTATGAAATTTAAATCACCATAAAAATATGTAAAGATTTATTTAGAAATGAATGATAAAGTGTTAAAACAATTTTTAGCATGGGATTAAGTTGATGATTAATTTCATATTAGATTCCTTTTTATTTTATTTTATTTTATTTTTTCATAAATTCTATGATACCAAAAAAAAAAAAAAATTATCTGTTTTCAATTTTTTTTTTTTTTTATTTTAAAAAAAAAAACATTTTTAAGGTTACCAAATAGTAATTATAGCCCCCAAACATATTGAACAAGTAGTTTGTCAAAAGTTGATATTGTTCGACAGTGCAGCATATATGTTCATGGAAATATTTCCCCAAAATACAAGAATAGAAAGGTGGGTTCAAGCGGAAAGTTCTTTGTCAGATACACACCATACATAGTGGGCCAAAATGCGTTAGTTGTAAATTCCATGATATATTTGCAGTGGGCCAAGATGTCAAGCCCTGAAGCCCAAACATACGATTATTCGCCAAGAAACAGACATGTGTCTTTAAGAAAGAGAGGTTTTAAGCTTGCTCAAGTTGTTTAAGAAAAATTTGTTCGGACGTAAAATATTTTTTTATTTTTTTGATATTTAATTATTGTAAAATATTTATAAAAAAAAAATTAAATTTAATAAAAATAACTTATTCATCAATTTTCGACAAGTTATTTTAAATGTTCTATCCGGTGGACTCGACCTCAACCTCAATGTAGATCTTTGTCAAACACCGACAAAGTAAAATAAAAGAATTTTTACCTGAAATAATAAAAAAACTCCCATTTTCTTCTTTTGTCTTCCCTTCAACATCTAAAAATTAAACAGGAAAAGTATCTTTCTTACCCGCCTTCTCGTGCTCGAAAATAATCTAATGGGAACTTCTCAACGCTTTCATTCATCTCCCGAACGGATCAAACTACTACTTGGTATTTTTCTTCAGTTTGTACACATTCATTTTTTAATCAAAAATTTTATTTTTCTTTTCAATAACCATTCACTTTTCCCATGGCATAATGAAATTTAAATCACCACTATAATATTGAGTATAAAAATTTGTAAAGATTTATTTAGAAATTAGTGTTAAAACATTTTTACACAAAACATTTTAAAGTTATCAATTTTTTTTTTTCAAAATTCCTAATAGTTCCTTCTTTTTTATTTTAATAATAGCATTTGTAAGAATTTCTGATTGTATGTGGAAGAGTAGAATAACTCCGATGTCTCACTCTTGACTAGATAGTCTTTATTATATATATAATTATTGTTCTCAATATTGATTTAGAATATCAATATTTTTTTTTTTTACCTTCCAAATCTTTGATATATATGTATCTATATGTGTGAAGTGTTGTATCCTAACTGGTCACTGTGTTTCTTCGTCCTCTCTCTCCTCTTTTGATTTGGTCTCCGGCAGCGGCTTGTGTTAGGTTTACTACCATATGTATTGTTTTAGGGTGTTTTTTTTTTTTTGAATAATTTTAAAATAAAATATTATTTAATAACAAATAAAAAGAATTTTTTTTATTTTTATATTTAAAATAAAATAAGAAAAGTTCTATTTTTTTGTGTTAATAATAAAAATAAAATTAGAGTTGGAAGTACACAAAAATTAATAATTGAATACTTCAGTCTCAATACTAACCGTTTGATCGGATTGAAAAAAATAAAAGAATATTAATGAACTAAAAATTTATCAAAAAAAATGATGTTTCAAACCGAGAAAAGAAACAAATGTAATTTGCATATTTGTTCCTAAGAAAAAAAAAAAAAAAAAAAAAAACACGGGACTGAACGGGTCAACTTGTCCGACCCAAAAATATTTGGGTTTGGATTACTAACAGAGCCCAGTTTTGTATAACATTTGGCCAACCCAACCCAACACGACTTCGAGTTGAGGTCCGGTTGGGACCGGGCTGGGTTTGGCCTGCCCAACTTGCAACCTTACATTCAAATCAACTTAATTTTTAATTTTTAATTTATTTTCAAATCAACTTAATAAAAAAACTCTTTTCAACTATTTGGAGTTTTGGAAAAATGAATCTTGTTCTACCAAAACTCATAACTTTAATTAAAAGATATTTCACCTTACCTCAACAATATATATATATATATATATTGATGGCATGAAATGTGGTATAATGGTAGTTTGATCCCATTAACATTTTTTTTCCAGTTTATGGAGGAGGGCTGAACCCCTCTCTCAGGGTACATTTATCTACTTAGCTTATTTTTCTCTTTCAGCTGGAATGACATTTTGCTTTCAGCAGTAGTATTGTATGAGTGGTGATAATTTGTTCACATCAAACTCACATAAGTTGTGAGCATCATAAGTTTTGTTAACTCAAGTAAGAAAAAAAAAAAAAAAAGGTTTGTTAACTCATTTATTTGTGATTGACTCGGCGTAAAAAAGTGTTAATCTATTTTTGTATTTTGAAATTAAATGACTATACAGTCAAACAATAATTTGTTTTCTTATGTTTGACTAAAATTTATTTTTGTTTTAATCATGCATTATTATCCGGAAGAGTTGTCAACTAATTTTAAGAAAAAAATGATATAATGGGAAAACTAATGATATTAATTATATTTTTAGAAAAATAGAATCAATTGGATCCTGTTCAAATTTTAGTCATAAATTTTTACAATATTGAATTTCGAAATAATTTCAGTTTGTATCCATTCAAACTTGCAGAATATATATATATTTTTAATCAAAATTGAATTCAAATAAAGAGTATAATGTTATTGTGTGGAATTTAAGAAATTCCAAACTGTTTGGCTACAAAGCAAGTCCAAAGATCTGACGAAGACTCGACATTCTTTGAAATTAATTTCAGGGAAGGTACACTTACAGCTCCATTTTATCATCATTGCGGATGTCAATGGAATGGGTTCGGGACGGATATGATCTAATTCTATCACTTAATTTTTTTTTCTTCTTCTCAATCCAATTGGGAGCATTAGAGCCAAAGCAGGTTTGGGACGTCCCAATATACTTATCTTTTTAATAAAAACAATTCTTAACTAATTTAAGATTAATTTTGTACTTTTTTTTTTTTATTATAGTCAAATATTTAACAAGCAAAATAACAAATATGTTATTAAATTAAAAAATGTCACAAGAAATAAAGAAAAAAATAAAAATTATAGCTAATAAAAGAATATTTATTTATATATTAATGTGTAATCTAGATTATATATATAATTGTTGTCTCAATCTTGATTTAGAAGTTAAATGTAATTTTGAAATTTTTTCACCAATATTTTATAAAATTTTATGTGGGATTGGCGAAATGAGTGTTGTTCTATCAAACATAGTAACCTTAGTTAAAATATATTTTATTTTATCTAAACTATATATATAACTTGATGGCATGAAATGTTTTATAATTGTAGTTTGATCCAATCTGCTATCATTAACAATTTTTTTTGTTCTTATATTAGTTAACTTTTATATAAAATAGTCATATATATATATATATATATATATATATATATATATATTTGTTCTTATATTAGTTAACTTTTATATATATATATATATAGATGATTAAAGAGAATCCATAATTTTTTATTTTCTAGTGATGATACTTTCTTTTCTTTTCTTTTCTTTTTTGTTTCCGGTAAATCTATTTGGAAAATATATAAGCTAACTAATATAGGAACAAAATTTATTGTGATCTTGAGTTATTTTCCGGATATATTACTCTTAAACTCAAAAAGTTATAAAAACATATTACAAATTTTTACCAAATTACAAACAAATTCTTCCA